AGAGTGCGTTGAAAAACTGGCGAGAATGGCGGGAGCTTAGTGTGAAGAAATACGAGGTAGAGTATGACCGGCTCAATGTGCATTTCGACGTGTACACTGGAGAGAGTAAAGTTGGGCAGAAATCGATTGACGATGCGATAAAGAGGCTTGATGAGATGGGGCTAATTGATGATCATGAGGGTGCGAAGCTGGTCAATCTGGAGAAGTATAAACTCGGTAAAGCAGTCGTGAGGAAAAAAGGTGTGTTCGTGTGGATTTGTATCGGTTTCGTTCCTCTCTGACTAGGAATTCTTTCTACGAATAGACGGTACCTCGATCTATCTTACTCGCGATATCGGTGGAGCAGTAGAACGATACGAAAAGTACAAATTCGACAAAATGATCTACGTGATATCCTCACAACAAGACCTTCACGTCGCGCAGTTCTTCAAAGTTCTTGAGCTTATGGAGTTCCCTTGGGCCAAGGATCTCGTCCATGTCAACTACGGACTTGTTCAGGGTATGAGCACCCGAAAGGGAACTGTCGTCTTCCTAAATCAGATCATAAAGGAGGCAACGACGGTTATGCACGAGCAGATGCAAAAGAATGAGGAGAAATATAATGCTGTGGAGGACCCGGAGATGACTTCTGAGGAACTTGGGATTACTGGGATCAAAATACAGGACATGACTGCCAAAAGGTATGTTGAAATGGCAACAGTCGCTCATCGTGATGATCATCTCAATATTTTCCAGGATAAACAACTATACCTTCAACTGGGACCGAATGCTATCCTTTGAAGGCGATACCGGTCCTTACCTCCAATATGCACACGTTCGTCTAGCCTCAATCGGTCGCAAGAATCCACATCTCCTACCTTTACCTCCACCTTCCGAAATTAATATCGATGCCCTCGTTGCTTCAGCACACGCGCGAGAGATTGCGTTCCTGTTGGGTACATACTCTGATGTCGTGAAGACAGCATTGAAAACGCACGAGCCCAGTGGCGTGGTGACATTCGCGTTCAGGTTGAGCCATGCAATTTCGAGTGCTTGGGAAACGGTTATTGTAAAGGGAGAGGAGGATATAGAGAAGGCAAAGGCGAGAATGTGGTTGTACGAAAGTGCAAGGGACGTTTTGGCGGCTAGTATGAAGTTGTTGAGTATCAGGCCTTTGGAGAGGATGTAGTCTATAATACAATGATACACTATGCGTGACAAGAAATCAGAGAGATAAATTGTAAAAGATATGTTTGTGCTTCTTTGTAGGCGCCTTTTCGTCATTCTTTGTTCCTTACTTCCATCATATCGCTTTGCAACGAGAAACGACATTCTAAAGCTTTCAATCGCACAAACTTTACCCCAGAAGGACATTCTCTTTTCCTTTCAATATTTCAAACTCGCAACCCGTTGTGAATGCGAAGCGCTATGTTTTTCCTTGAAAAAGCAATTTTTTCGGACACTCCTAAAAAGGCAAGAAACGCTTAGTCCTTCAGCAACTCCCACACCAATCGACCAAGGATTGCAAAAACACTTATAAAGTCGAGTGTCCATGTTTCGCTCATTCAGTCAACGCTCCCCCTTCCGTGCGGTGTGCGCCGTTCGCTTTGCTCAGTCTCTATTAAAACCCGAGTATCATCACCAGTATTGAGACAGAAATGCCTCGTGCCTCTTCATCAAAGGTAACGGCTTCAATGACATCTGTCTGAGCCTCAGAATTGCAACCTTTGCTCTTCCATAGCCAGAAGAGGGACCCGTCCAATGTGAAATCTGCCAAGCAGTAATCCAACGTAGACAAGATTTCCCTCGGCATATGCGTATCCACAGCGAGAAGAGGGATGAAATGTCAGTGATCACTGGCATAACTCACGTTCTCTCTTGCGATTACTGAGGCTTCCATGTACATGTAGCATATTCAAATGCCCTTGGCCTGGCTGTAGCTATGAGAGTCTACAGAGAAGCAACGTCGACATTCATCATCGTATACAGTGAGTCTACCGATTGAATTTTTTTTACTGGTATCGTTTTTGAACTTGTATCTGCTCGCTGCAGTACTCAAGAGAAATCGAAAACATGCCCCGATTGTGACTTTGCAACCAGTGATCCCGGATCTTTAACACGCCACCGGAAGAGATTTCATGGATATCAACCCAAAGCTAAACAAGCCTAGGTCACTGCTCCTGACTATGTAGACTTTACGACGCGGAGAAAGCTGCAACCATCCGTCCACTTGTCTTCCCTTTTCGACTCCAGGATGTTTTGTCCCCAATGTTCGACCAGTTGTGAAGAGCTCACTTCGGTCGAGAGAGAGGCATTCGACATCTGTTGCATGCCTGTGTAACACCGCGGTGTGGTTTCTCCTGGGGGACCAACAGGAAAACCTATTGCTGCTTTTCGGGCAAAGATCAAGCAAACGACGACACCACAAATACTCTCGATTACAACTAAGTAGATGCGTAAATATTAGCATTCAGCTACTTTAAGCGCTTACGTGGGCGCTAAAATTGCTCGGCTCTTCCCTCTCCAGCATCCACAACACAATATATTCCACAAATGAACAGCTCGTCATACTTTGGTAACTCATCAAGCCTGCACAAGACTGAAGTAAAGCTGAAAAATCTGACGAACCCATACTTGCTGAGTTGGACTTCGATATCAAAGAGGCGTGTGTATCGTGCAAACAAAACAATTGAACCGCCAAAAAATGTGCTGCTTGCAAAGCACCTATATGCTATAGTGCTCATATACCGTAAAATGATTGATCTGTTGGACATTGAGAGTATTGGACAGCTGCAGTACTCTACTATGTATTATCATATTTCACCGCGTAATATCTTGTACCATAAGATGAGGCTACTAGGCTGTACTCAGATTACTTGACACACAGGGATCAGCCTTCTCAAAGATATAATGCAGCTCTTTTTCCCAGTATTGATTAAGCAAAAAGTCTGAACCAATGGCCATAACATTCATGGGTGAGAGGTGTGAATCAGCGGGACCTCGCAGTTAGGGAGAAAACATCTACCTGTGCTTGGTAGGAATGATAAGTATCACCAAAAGGTGTTCCATTGGCTTGTAGGGCCTTCTTGAGAACATAGCAGCCAGAAGCGTAGTCAGGATAGAGTGGCTTCCAGGCTCGATAGCATGGGATATGATTGTTCTGAGGTCGCGGTGGAGGTTGGTTAACAACGTCAAATCTCTCGCAATACATAAATTTAAAATCGTACTCTAGAATACGCGACCTCGTGGGAAACGACCCCTTTCTTGCCACAACCTCTCATTTCGCGCAATCCCTAAGATCCCTCACCATTGTCATCGTTCACTGACACTTGGTCATCTATATACTACTCTTGACCACGCTTTAAACTGTTTTGTCGACTCCCATTGTCAACAGGCACAAACCAGCGACGCGTCGAAATCTTCCTCCTTCTCGATTTCTCTTCTTATCCGGCAAACAGTGCGCTCTTCACTCTTCTTTGACGCGTCTAGGACCTTGGTGACGAATTTTTGCTACCTACATAACAAGAAGACAGACCAGTTGTGCGATGGTGACCACCGGACTGTCACGGTTCCTTCAAAATCATGGACATGATGTACTCAGAGAGACCACTTTCTGGGATATGGGTGTTGATACTGTTAATGACGGCCATGATGCTGCTGACTGTAGGCCCACGAAACGGGCGCGGACTACTCTGACCATCTCCGACGTGCATTCGTGTTCCCCGGTGCGTGTGGCATTCAAACATGAATATCTCTTTATTCGTAGCTCGGATGGCTAATTATTCATATAGCACTTTCCTCACAAGACTGATTATCAAGCACCTGTCGAACATCCAAGGCATGCTCCGCTAGTAGTGAACGTATCCGGATCGTGCTCCCAAGCCACTCATGCGCTGTTACTGCGCCCCATCAAGGCATTGCCACTACGTGCAGCCAATACTCTTTCGAATTCGAGCCCAAACCCTCATACCTCCAATAGTCCTTCCAACAGACCACACCAAAACACACAAAACGACTCAAAGTTTGTCGTTCAACCAATATTGTCAAAACTACCACCTCCGCGATACTCAGGAGACTTTAATTTATTCTTGACCGCCTCGACTTTGATACCTTCAGACTTCTCAAACGTTTCTAGGCGACACGAGTCTGAGTTCACCGAAGCACTTTCAAACGATCATTATTGGACCTTGTGCAGAATTCTTTCGGATTCTGGGCACACTGTGGTAACCTCGCCCACGCCAAATGCACGATGTTCTCTTCCTAATCAGTCCGACCGTATACCCTTGTCAAGTCTTAACGGAATTCATGGATACGTCCAGTCCGATCTAATCAGAGATCCAGCCAGCAATGAATGCCTCCGAATTGGATTACATGACATACGAGAAACTGTCGGCGGAGATGGACCTTCCTCATCTACATTGCGCCGTAAGGGCTTGGATGTTGATATGATGTTAACTGAGATGACATCCTCATCGTCATCTGCCTCCACCTCTTCACCGCCTCCCGTTCCCGAACCACGCCTCTGTGCTGGCGCATGTGTTATAGGCGACGGCTCAATCGGTGATATCGTTGATTCGTTTGGGGAGTTTGTGATTAGTAGAGTGTGGTGTGGGTTTACGGATGATGTCGATGATGAGGGATGGAAGGATGAATGTAGACCGCTCGTCGAGCTGTTTCAAGGTCACCTTGCACTACGGGTTTTCTTTGGGGATGGGTATGTGGAACGAGGACATCCGGAGGTGGGAGATCATCGTTTTGAGTTTTGGGCTGTGCGAAGTATGAGTGGTGCTAGGGAGACAGAGTGAGGAAGGGAGTCGTAGCGGTAATCAAAGTGGACATAGACAACATGGGAATATACATATACGAACGCTATTTGTTGCAGTAGTACAATGATATCTCGATGAATTGACACTCAGCTTTGTTGCGAGTAGGGGACAACTTAGAAGTGCGCGAGGTTGTAATTTGAAAAAAGAGCAACAATCTAAAAGAAAAGGGGATATATATACCCACAAAAAAAAGAACTCCCTGGCTGGGAGTCGAACCCAGCTTTCGCGCGCCACTCAGCCTAGTATGACAGGCGCGTGTACTAACCGATATACTACCAGGGATTGATTCTTGTGTGCTCCAAGTACTTTATCAGTTTCCAACAGCCCTCTGCTGCCCAGTTGTAAAGGAAATGTAAAGGTCGAAGCCGGTAAGCAACTGGGAACATTCGTTCAATTCGGAGGCTACAGTAAGCAGATGGAATAGTGAAAAGTCGACCAAGGCCTATTAGGTCGTTACAAAGTCATTCAGGTGGGTCCTTCATTGGACACTCAACAACAGTGTTGGGTATGAAGTCGGAACAGCGTATACAAGAGGCGAAGGGGTCAAGGACTTGATCAATATGGACATCAAGTTGGACTACGTCGAGATGGACCATGTCACGCGGGAGTTGGGAGGTAAGGAGGCTGTAGCTTGGGTGATCCTGGGTGGGGTGTGATGAGATGAGGCTGATAGATCATCTGTCGTTGAGCAGCAGGGGTGGTGTGTGTTGAATGCTCTGTCGACCCTTTCTCGCCACTTGGAAATTTGTTCTGAGGTGCTTGACGATCTTGTACATATCCTGTCCTCAGAAATAAAAGCATTGTCTTGATATCGTGTGACACGGCGAGAATTGTTGCATACTCTTGCCTCTTTCAAGTTTGCAGCGCGTCGATAATCCCTGTGACACCCTATTCAACGTAGTGATTTTCTTGCGCTGCTTTGTACTTGTAACTTGACCTAAATGGAAAGACGAGCAAATCTGACCACTCCCTGCGCTTCCCTGCATTAATATTCCAAAAACAAAAACCAGAAAAAGATCGACGCCCCCAAAATTTGCTTGTTATCCTATTGACGAAAGGTTTAATTGACTCGATTCAAGTTGGCAATCCTGAAAAGTCAACAAGCAGAATCCGAAGGTGAGTCGCCGTATAAATGCTATGTACCTGGGGCTGAGATGACTATTGTTCGTCGCAATAACCATGGTATTTGAAAATTGTTGGAGGGTCCCTTCCGTCGTCGCTCTTGCTCGATCGATTGATTATTTCTCTTGAATTTTCCGCTTTGACCTGCTCTTAAATCGCTGAGCGTGGTTTATGTTCTCGTATTGCTCGCAACGTATTGAAGGAGGATTAGTTGAACCGTAGACAGGATCGAAAGATAAGCTTGGGTTATTATTACTCGTGTGTGATAGATTTTCGAGAAACAAACAGATCACAAGGTTAGGCAGACAAAACGTGAAGATCCCCGGTCAAAAACATAACCAGCAGTTGCTCCCTGGCTGGAAGTCGAACCCAGCTTTCGCGCGGCATCCTAATGATACACGCAATAGATCATGACAGGCGCGTGTACTAACCGATATACTACCAGGGACTTGTTTATACCCATTCAACTAGGTTTCTATAATTGTACTCAGGTATTACCTTCCCACTGTAAACTTGTATGCTCTATCGTACAACTGTACCAAAATCTCCCAACAACAGGTTATCTATCAGTCTCGTCCTATCAACCCACATTGCCCCGCTCAAAATCACCGGAGCAGCCTCATTACCTCTCAACGAACGCGTGTCAGAGTCATCCAAGACCTCGAAGGTCCCAGCGTCGTTCATCTCGATATAGTCAAGCGTAATCTCCACGTCCAATCCATGATCACGCACTTCTTCGATGCGCCGTTCAACGAGTGCCCGAGCAATCTCCACACATTCCTTCTTATTCTTATTCTTTCCTCCTTCATCTCCTTCTCCAGCGAGCCAGCACTCCTCCGCAGCCTTGAGCGCAGCATATAGCGTTGGCGCGACTTTGCGTCCGGCAGGTGACAGGTAGGCGTTCCTTGAAGATAGAGCGAGGTTGTCAGATGGGTCACGGGCTGTAGGTATGATGTGTAGGTGATCTGGAGAGGGATGGGAGAGAAGAAGGTCCGTGACCATGTGTCGGAGTAGAAGAGCTTGTTGGATGTCTTTTTGGCCAAAGTAAGCGTTCGTGGGCTATGCATATAGTAGTGTGAGGTCAAAATTTGGGTGATTTCGCGTAATGTCCTCACTTGTATAACATTGAATAACTTGGTGACCACTGTCGCTACACCACGGAAAAAGCCTGGTCGACTCTTCCCTTCCATCTGTTCACCGTAAGCTGTGACTTCGACGAACGTTCCGCGTTGCTTGACTATTTCTTGTTCTATACCACCCGGGTACATTTCGCGTACGCTGGGTAAGAAGACGGCAGAGGGTCGTTTGACTTGGTTGGAATCCAAAGTGGGAATTGAATTTGAGCTCATGTCAGAGTTCGACGCGACAACTTGTTGCTCAGCAAGTACCTTCAAATCACGTTCTAGCGTACGAGGATACGTCTCCAGGTCTTCATGCGGAGCGAATTGAGCGGGATTGACAAAGATGGAGAGAACGGTGAGATCGTTTTCGGATAAGGATCTGCGGACTGTAGTGCAGGATTGTTAGTACGAGTATAACGTTACTCTAGTTTACGAATGAATGATGATGGATCGATGTAGATCAATAGATGGTATAGATGAATGAAATAGATATACACACCGAGACCTAGATGTCCTTCATGCAGAGCACCCATCGTTGGTACGAATCCGACTGATCTGTTCTCGATGAACGCTTTGCGTCGCCATTCTCTATATGAAGCGACTGTGGTGAATATTGGTATATCTGATTCTGGAGGCGGTAGAGATAAATCCGAGCGTGTCGTGGCAGTCGACATTAGTTTGCGTGAAAGGATGGAGATTGGATGGGGAGATCGATGAAAGCCTAGAGCGCCAGGAGTAAAATATGGCGCCTGACGCAGATGGGATAGGTAGAAGGGAAACATCAATGTTCGGGAAGAAAAACAAGTCAAGTAAGATCATTGCTTTCACTGCAGGAGAATCAATTCCCACAATGTTCTGTTAATTCAATCCCTGGTAGTATATCGGTTAGTACACGCGCCTGTCATAATATCTGAGTGGCGCGCGAAAGCTGGGTTCGACTCCCAGCCAGGGAGTAATCGTCAATCTTTTTGACGCTACTTGACGCTACTTGACCCTTTCCTACCAGATATACTTACCATAGATTGAATATGTTTTCCCCTACGCCGAGTGTGGTCAAGATCACGTCTTTCGGAAATTATGCCCGACCCCCACTTGAAACGAAGCCTTCATGGTCATCAAATACACAATATTCGTCTCCTACTAGTAGCTACAACTGTTAGTGGTTCCCAGTCATGCATCCCAGAATCGTTTCATTCATGTATCCCTCATCGACTCATTGAATCTCTAGAAGCATCCGAGTCGTCGGGGGTCTCCATTTTCAGTTTTCTGACCATTCCTAACGGGAAACAAGTTGTGTAGGGTAACAATGTTTTCTAAGACCAATCAAGTCTTGCGTGTCCAAATTCAATAGCTCTGTGCGCTGATTATTCAATGGGGGAGTTCGAAAACGTCTTGTTTCGCTCAACGGGTTTGTGGGTTCGCTCTCCCGAAATCCATCCGGCCCCGGAATACTTGAAGGAGCGTTACAACTCAAACCACGCTAATCAGACTGCCCTGGAATTTTGAAACCAACATATATAAAGACTTAAGTTTATGCATACCTCGAGACAAGGCCTACCTGTACACACTCAGCTTCTACCTTAAGAAATGTCCGGGTATTCTGATCCCTTCGAGTATTTGAAAGGACTCACTTTTGTACGTCCACCTCTCCCCGGGCTTCGAAGTAGCCAATCGCGAAAGTCTATTGCTCCTAACTTGAATATGTGTTTTGCAATCAGATACTCGAGCCACAGTTACGCATCATCAAATCGAGAGGAGGCGCAGACGATGACATCTTTCAGGTCCCCCTCCATTGGCACGAAGACCATGATGAGATTATCACCGTCCTCGAGGGGAAGCTCAAAGTAACTCTTGGAGGAGAAACCAAAGTATACACACCCGAAAGCGGAGAGGCTTTTGTACCAAGAGGTATCCCTCATGCTCTGGAAAGCTTCAGAGGAGTACCTTGTGTGGTCACCGAACGTACGAACCCGTCTGTCTGTATCTCATTCTTATTCTGTGCTGCCTCTCAACTGATACACTTTCAAAGGAATTTGACACGAAAGAATTGTTCTTCCGAAACATGTTATCGATACCGGGAGGTTTGTCTTCAGGAGGTTTGCTGTCAGTGATGCAGGTATTCTATCACGGAGATGGGTATCCTGTGTTTCCAGTTCATGTTGCTTGGCTGGAAAAAGCTGTAAGTACTGCCGATTCCAATTCGAAAAGTCACTTGCATTCACTGATCGGGTTTTCAGTTTGTTAAAATACTCGGCGGATATGTTGCTCCTCTGTTGGGTCATCGACTGAAATACAAGAGCTTAACGGAGGCGCGGGCATGATGTCGCGTTCTCATCTTCACATTCTTCACGCGTCAATGGATTATGTTCATCTCTTTTGCAGGACTATTTATTAGTCACTCTTAACTTTGCTTGTGATACATACCCAATATTTCAGCAACGCGTATGATTTAAGCAAGCACTTAAATTCGCTCTCCATTTTCCAGGAAGTAGTAGGCATTCGCCGTTTTGGGCATTTATTCGTGCACTGTTGCCCACTGAATTTCCGCCGGTAGACCAAATAATCATCCTCTGAAAAGGGAAATGTGGTTACAGAGAGCTATAGCGATACAAAATAAGACGTTACATAGTGCGTCGGCACAGACCATTCACCAATTCGCCCTCATAAACTAGCTGTTATCTTTTCCTATCTCTCCGCCGTTCGTAATCTCTATCTCTGTTTCTGTCCCGTCTATCAGATTGCCTGGGACTAGCACTTCGTCTGTGCTGCCTGTCAGGACTACGACTCCGTTTCCTGGAGTCTCTATCTCGCTCCTTCCGACGGGATTCACCAGATGGTAGTTCAAACACCATGCCATACCCGCCTCCTCTTCCGTCATGCCTGTCGTGATCATGGTCCTCATCGCGGTATCGCCTTGTTCGCACCAAATCTTCGCGCCCACCAAAGCCAGATCCGAGTCCTCTCTTCTTGGAATTACCAGGACCGCGTTGTATGTCGTTTGACCAGAAAGTATTCGCTTTTGCTACAGACTGTGAGAAGTCAACCCATATCCGTCGGTCGTCCACGAGAACGTTTTGCATTTTGAAGTAAGCCTGTTGTAGGATTGTTAGTGTTCAATATTGCATGGTTGATTGACACTCGCCTGTTCTGCATCCTCCCTTTTATCGAATTCAATAAACGCATACTGCAAGCTATCCCCTGTCTTCTTGTCTCTGATAACCTGGCAACTCATGATCGTCCCGAACCTCGAGAAGATCAACTCTAGGTCCTCATCTCTTGTCACCGGATTAAGTTTACAAACGAACAACACGTTTTCCGGCGGACGGACGTTCGCAAAGGGGAGGTCCCCGACCATCTCCAGCGTAAGTGTGGAGCTCCGAGCTGCAGCCTCTCTCCGAAGTCTCTCTTCTTCTTCCTCAGGTAAAGTAGACAAGGGGTCTTCATCTTCCCCGATGCCGAAGAACGAGTTTGACCCGGCGTCTGGCGGTTTAGTGGGTGGATTCGATGGAATAAGCGGTTCTAGTCCTGGAGGATCAGGAAACGGATCATCGAGTATCACGACGTGTCGGATTCGCACGTCTTTCATCGGACGAAAATCTTTTCCAACAAAAACGTCGTTGAGTTTATCGAGAGTTTCGAGTCCTTCGACGACGTGTCCGAATACGGCGTGTACTCCGTCAAGGTAGTCTGTGTTGTCCGCGAGGGTTACGAAGAACTGGCTTCCGCAGCCGGTGAGAGTTCCATTTTCAGAGGCAGGAGCAACGGCCATGGATACGGTGCCTTTGATTTGGTGTTTGAGTTTGGGTAGGATTTCTGGAGTAAAGAAGCGAGGAACGGAATCTGTTTTCTGAGAACTGTTGTTTATGTAGGACCAAATGCATTCTCCTCCTGTGCCAGTTGCTGTTGGATCTCCAGTTTGAGCAAGGAAGTCTTTTTGGACTGTTGAATCGCAATTGAGAACATGTAGTAGGATACTAGAGAACGAATCGCGTTACCATTGAAGAAAGCATTGAGATTGTAGTAGTACACCTTGCACAGTTTGAGAAAGTTTTCGCATATCTTAGGACATAAGTCTGTTTCGAGGTCGATGACTAGGTCACCAAGAGAGGTTTCGAGCAGGACGGACATGGGCGTTAAGCGCTGGCGCTTGAGCCAAGCTCATGCAAGGCCGGCACGTGAACCAAAATCAAAAAATGCGCTCGGGCGGCGTGAGTCACAGCGAAGAAATAGCCTCATACGGGCTGCGATTGGGAAGTGTGCAGATAATGGACCCGAACCTTACATACAAGTATCTTTTCCATTCAGCTGATAACTGAAAACCCAGTCA